GCATCTTCAGGTATCTATGAAGATAATCGTTTCGGTAGAACCAAGGTGCATCAACAATACATCTTAGGACTTTATTTTGGAAAACTTGAATCATGTTGATATTACTCTTGCTGGCACATCCCCATAGCTGTATGCCATAAATCTAGATTGATTTTAGGATTTGTTTATAAATCAGCAGTTTGTTGTGCACTGTCAATTTGGATTTTCTTCCTAGGAGCCAATACATTTTTTTTGAATTTATGTTCAAGTTCTTTACGCTTTTTTATGTGCTCTTTCCATTTAGGTTTTACATCTAGGTTCATCCCTAGATATTTGGCCGAATCGTGATGCGGAATAACGTCATTGTTTAATCTTATTTGTTTTTGTTCATTTGGTCGAAGAGTAAAATTAACATGCACTGATTTAGTTTGATTTATTTTTATTTTCAATTTTTTTGTCCATCGATTAATTCTGTTGCAGGTTTCCTGAAGTTTTTCTGAGGTCTCTGTATTAGTTCCGCCAACTGCCAATATTGCAGTGTCATCTGCAAATGTTGCTATTTTAACAGATTCTTGTTGAGGGATATCGCTGGTGTATAATAAATAAAGAACCGGTCCTAGCACACTGCCTTGTGGGACACCTGCTTTAATTTCTTTCATTTCGGAGTATGCCTCGTCTTGCTTTACTCTAAACATTCTTCCCGTTAAATATGATTGTAGAATGTCGACATATTGCCTAGGGAGCATTTTTTCAAGTTTCTGTATTAGGCCAGCGTGCCAGACCTTGTCAAATACTTGATAAATAATAAAAAGTTGTGCTTACTTAACGTTAAGCTGGCTCAATATTTATTTAAAAAGAATATATTTGACCAAATTTATTTTTGACTTCGCACATAATTTGCACAAAAAAACGCACAAAATTATGGTGTTATTGAAATTAAAATTACTTGATAAATAATAAAAAGTTGTGCTAACTTAATGTTAAGCTAGCACAATATTTAATTACCAAAAAAACTATAAATGCACAAAAATCGTGAACGGCGCACAAAAATTGCACATAATTCGCACATAATTACAGATAAAGTTTTGATTGATTGTGCTAAGATCGTTGTGCTAACTTTATATACCTGAAAATAAAAGCGGTACAATAAGCTTAGAGCGACTGGGCATTTAACCTCGTCTTAATTCAGATGGACATATATTGTCCCTCCCTGATATTAAGTGATATTCAGCTCTGGTTTGTATATCAGGGTTTGGAAAAATGTCTGGAAATAGTATAGTGTACTCAATAGCGATGATTAATTAAACTTCTTAGACACAAGCCGACGTACTATAAAAATATTCAGATTTCTATTTTCTTTATTTCTTATTCAACCAAGGAAAATTGTTGCAAAAACAGCAGAATTTTAGTTGTACCGCAAGACCTAAAAAAAACCCCAGAACGCTTATAAGATAAACCATTTTTATTAAACATAAAAAATACTTATTTTTATTCGACATAAACTTCTTCAAATTCTATAGAATGTCGTAAAATTAAATGGAGCGGCAAACATTTAGAGTTCTTGATGTATAGGCAGATTCCAAGAATTTTTGGAGGATCAGCGTGATGATAAGTTGAATTTATTGAGGGTGTTAGCGGCGTCACTGTACATTTACGTTTGAAACAGAACCGGCGTTTCAGAAAAGTCATTTATCGGGTTATTAGTGTCCGATACAAGGACGTAAATCATAAGAAGATAGCCGAGGACAGAGATATTACTCAAAAAGGAGATGGGTTGGAAAGTTGTGAAATGATTGCATTACCAGTGAGTTTTATAACTGAACAAAGTTTGTACATAGACAGGAAAGTCTGTTTTATTTTAAATTTAATTACTTAAAATATATTATCCGCTACGCGATGATGGTTTGAAAGGATAATAATACTAAGTCATTTATTGTTTCATTTGATATACTGCACGATGACACGATATTTGAGGGCATGATACGAAGTATCTTTAGACGCTGCAAGTGCTTTAGAGGCATTTATTTATTTTATAATACAAATGCATTACAACTGGAAAAATAAAAATAAATATAGAAAGAAGTAAATTACTTTTTCCAGCTTTAAAAATAAATATATACTTAATTGAAACTCCTGACATAAGCTACCAGCTATTTTGATTTCTTGTTTGTTGCTATGAAGATAACAATAATTAATTGTTGTTTACAATATTATTTTGATAGTTTATTTAATTGATAAATAACTCAAGCACAGGTAAAAATCTGTAGGCTGCTTCAAGAACTAGGAGGTGCCTTATTAACTTAAGGGGACACAATGGGCCTGGTGCCGTGGGGGCAACTCATACTCCATACATTACAGATACACAAATCTCAAATCAAACGTTCTGGCTAACTTTTTTTAAATATTTCAAAAGCGTTACTAGCTACTTGGGAACCTGTATACTTACACATGTGAAATGAATTTTGCATAATTATAAAATTGTTGCTTTCGACTATTTTCAAATCTTGTAAACAATTAAACTTGTAGCCCTAGTATTTTCACAGCATTTTAAATATGTTTTACTTATATTGAACGCAGGTTCATTCCTTGTTATTTCCCTTGATAGGAGGGAAGTATTGTAATCGCGAAAAAGTCACCCCTCGAGATTATTTTAGATCTTCTCGTTTCGGGGTCCCTAGAGTAAGAATCTGTTGACGCGATAGCTCTAAAACAACTTTAGAGAAAAATTTCGATCAGTTGTATACAGGATGAGCACATGTTTTATTTTTAGATATAATTTAACTATTGTTTCGAGGATTTCATTGACATTTTTTCAAAAGCATGTTAGAAGTTTCATAGACAATGTAAAGTAGTGACCACTAGTTTATTCATACTTCAATATACAAATATTAATATTCAAACTAAAAATAAGGTCCAAGGTACTTGGTCAAAAGCTACTGTTACATGCAACAATATTGCAGATAACGTATTTTATCTCCCGGTTAATGTCTGTAATTCTGTTAATTTATAGTAGAAAGTAATTTCCTGAATCAAATTTGGTGGTTTAATAGTTCTTTTGATTTAATAACAGAACGATATTTTTCAAATAATTTGACTATTCTTAGTAGTATCTGGATCAATACGTATAACTTATTGAAGTCCATTTACCAAAATAAGATATATAAAGTGTAATAATCAACTCAAATTAAAAAAATAATAATTTTAATAATTACAAAATATCCGAATAATCTAGAAATACAAAAGTAACATACAACCTATCTCTACAGGGTGTTAAAAAAAAGTTTCACAAAATAAAACGGGGGGTAGTATGGGCCAAAATATGCAGAAAAGTCTTAATAAACATATGTCCGCAAATGAATGGTTTCAGAGATACGGAGTGTTTTGTGTTTTGTATCATTTTTTGATTATCTTTTTTCATTCTCAAAAACTTGCTTTTCTTATCGGAGTCTACCGATGTTTTTTCATAGATACTATTTGAAGTTATTATTTTGTTGTGGGTGAATAATTTTATAAATTTTCGTTATGCCTGTTTACACTAATATTGAATTAGCTGACATGCATTTTATGTACGGTCATTTAACTGTATGTTGTTATTGATTTTTTATAAATATCATTGTTTTTTTATAATAATAAAACATTGTTATAAACACAAAATGGTCCGTATCTCCGAAACCGTTAATTTGCGGTCATATATTTATTAAGACTTTTCTGCTTATTTTGGGTCATACTATTCACCATTTCATTTTGTGACACTTTTTTTTAACACCCTGTATAAGTATGTAATTACAACAACTACATTACAATAATATAAAATACAATTAATTACAACTGCGTTAAAAAAAGTAAATAAAATAAACAAAACTAACAAGAGTTAAATAATTAAGATAAAAAATAAAAGTAGGCAATATCCAAAAAATATGATATAGGCGATTCAAATGAATTTTGCCTCGGCTGTCATTTGGCTTCTTACTAGGCGACTTATTTGTTTGTGTTTGGTCTTGGACTTAAAAAAAACGCTTTTCTTAAAAGGAAAAAAATATTATGTGAAAGCTGTTATATTTTGAATTAAGGCTATTATGTTTCCTTGGAAAAAGATGAAAACCTAATTGTCGACTCTTTTAAACTGCAAATTGTAATCATAAATATAATATACTAATAAAAATTGCGATTTGTTAATTCGACAATTTAATTTTGAATAAATATAACGCAATATTGTAAAATTTGTAATAGTGGTTTATGGTTTCTAGTGCCCTAGGATAACCAGAAAATTTGCGACTTTTTGTCCAATTAAATATTTGCTTCGTGGATAGAATCGGTCATAATTTTATGATTTATATTAATAGTCCAAGCCTATACATTCCAATTCACCAATAATTTAAGCCGGGAATTGTCGATAATGCAAATATGATTTGGGGTTTAACGTGGGATGCCAAATCGGTTGACGAAATTTAATCAAATTGAATGCAAATTGATCTGTATTATTGTGAAGGAATATTTTGATTATCAAAACGTGCTTTCATCCAAAGAGTAATTTTGTGAAAAACAATTTAAAAAATCGGTAAAGTTATTCATCCAGAACTTCTCTTGATATAGAAATTATAAAAATGAGGAACTCTAATTAAATATTCCATAGTTGTAAAAATAGTAAATACATTAAATAAGCACTTAAACTTTAAAAATTTAAAATTAAAACCACCAAACCAAAATCCTATTTTACCTTCCTTTCTTCATCGATCTTCCTCTTGATTCCACCCGAACTCTCATTTGGATAAAATGATTCTCGAGTAGAGTACATACACGTGTTTCGTTGAGGTCCGCATTAAACTGATGTTTTTCATGGTTATATAGTTAAAAAGTCGAGCTAATTTTTGTCCTGTGATAATTAAAGGGCTTATTCATAGAATACATGTGAAAATACTAAAGTGCATATTAAAATAAACCAGATTTGAACTAATTTATAAAAAATTGTGCAAATGTCTAGATATAAAAGCCGGTGAAGTGAAACCAGTGGCGTATTTAAAATGCCGAACACAAGAAATAAATTTCCAGAAAGTGTGAGTGACCAGCAGCAGTTAATAGAAGGTATGTTGGAAAAACACACTAACAAAATTTGTGAAAGACTAGAAAAACAGATGGATAAATTATATAATAAATTCGAAAATTTAGAGCTAAAATTAAAGCAAATGGAAGATAGGTTTGAAAATTTCGACAAAGAAATTAATGAAAATATATCTAATATAAAAGAGACAAACAAGAAGTTAGAGAATGTATATAAAATTCAACAGAAAAATACATTAAGAGTAGATGGAATTCCGAAAACAAATGGAGAAGATGTATTAAAAACATTCTTAAAAATTGTAAGCGATAAATTAAAAATACAGTGTGAAGATCGAGATATTAATGACATTTACAGGATAGGAAAAACCCAACAAAAAGGCAGAATCCGAACAGTTATTATCCAATTTGTTAGGTATCTTAAGAAAAAAGAAATATATAAAGTTAGGAAAGCATTAGCAGGTACTAAAATATACATAAACGAGAATCTTACTAAAGAACAATACATACTTTTCAAGTCGGCTAAAGAAAAATATGGCAATAAAGTTGTTTGGATTGATAATGGAAAAGTTTTAATAAAAAAACAGAACAATATTCAAGTTATTCATTCTATGGAGGATGTAATATAAATAGAAACCAGTTCGCTGTTGGCCTGCCGCGCATTTAATCTATTCGCCACCCATGACCTGGTCGTCTTATCAGATAGCTTGTTTTGCATGGCATTTACTTCAAAACTATTAACATTTTTTTTTGCTTTGTATAAATTTTGTTTTATTTTAATAATCGTAAATTAGGTTTCATTTTATTTAGAATGTATAATTTAAAATAGATGTGACTATACAACCGATCACAAGAATTTATGAAATTTTTAGTTAAATATTTCCATACTTTTATTATTTTTTTTCATTCTTATAATACATTAATTATTTGAACAATGGGATTTTGGGCCATTATTACAGTTTTTTTGTTTTTGTTATATATAAATGTATATTATTATGATTTTGGGTAACTACTGAGAAGTTCTAATATATATTCAACTCAGTTGTTGCGGAATCAATGAAACAAAATGGTATTTAAATAATACCTTTGTATACTTTATATTAAATTTTTAAGTTTTTAAGTATAAAACATATATTTAGTATTTAATTTTAATTTAATATTCTCATGACAAAATTTTCCTTTGCTTTTTTTAATGCACAATCTCTTTGTAATAAATTTAATGAATTTAAAACATATATTTTGCGCGAAAATTATGATGTTTTAGGTATTGGAGAGACCTGGTTTAATAAAAATATTCAAGATTACATGGTGCATATCGATGGGTACAATGTTATAAGAAAACGATAGGGATTCGAGAGGAGGTGGGATTGCAATATATGTTAAATCTAATTTGGCATTTAATATTTTAGAAATAGAAAATAGGGACTCTTTAGAACAACTATGGATAAGCTTTAAGCTGTATAATCGTAAGTTTGCCTTTGGAAATTTATATCGACCACCGGATAAAAGCGTAAGTGATTTTTTAACTGACCTTGAAGAAAATCTTGTAGACATTTATACACAGTTTGATGAAATTATTTGCGGAGGTGATGTTAATATCGACTTATTAAATGGGTCTTCGAACAATGCAGTTAATTTTATTAACTGTGCAGAGTTATTTAATTTACAGCAAATTATAACCTAACCAACACGGATAACAGCTACTAGTGAAATTATGATCGATGTCATATTAATATCTAATCAATATAACTCTTATAATCACGGTAATAAGGAGCTATATATATCTTCAGATCATCAATTTATTTATTGTATAATGAATTTCGAAGTTAGTAATTGTGAGAAAGTTATTTATTCTAGGGATATAAAAAATATTGATAAAAATTTACTAAAAAACTTTTTAAATATGGCTCCCTTTGAAAAAATTTTTTGGCTTGATAACCTAAATGATAAAGTCTCTCATTTTAACAATTTGATACACTTGCTCCTGTAAAAGAAAGAAAATTTAAAAAATGTAATCCTCCGTGGCTCACAGATAATATAAAATTAATGATAAAATTAAGAGACAAGGCACTTAGTAAATTTAAAAAAACAAAAAATCCAGCTCATTATCAATATTACAAGGAATTAAAAAACTATACTACCACGGCTATTAAAAACGAAAAAAAAAGGTTACTTTAAATATTGTGTTGAAACGTTTGGTCGAAATAGTAGGGTAATGTGGCAAACAGTAAGAAGCATGAACATATGTTCAAAACCTGTTAAAAGTGAATTACCCGCAAATTTAAATCACCCCAATGAAATAAATGATTATTTTATATCGGCAACTTGCAATCAAAACCCCGCTGATCAGGACTTGCTCCTCTTTTATAATAACAACTCTAAAGTAAATTTTCAGGAGCCACTCAGTTTCACAGCCGTTAATCAATGTATTGTTTATAAATATTTACTGGAAATTAAAACTCAAGCGATGGGAGTTGACAATTTGCAAATGTCTATGATTCTGCTGTGTTGTCCACATATTCTAATTTTTATAACTCACATCATAAATACTTGCTTGGAGCTATCTGTTTTCCCAGAAAACTGGAAAATATCAAAAGTGCTACCATTGCCAAAAAAATCTAATATAAGTAGTATTAATGAACTAAGGCCTATTTCAATTTTACCGGTTTTATCAAAAGTATTAGAAAAAATTGTTAAATATCAAATTGAATTACACATTAAAAATTATAATATCTTACCAATTAGTCAGTCTGGTTTTAGGCGTGGTTATAGTTGTACAACTGCCTTACTGGAGGTTACAGATGATATTTTTAATGATATAGACAAGGGAAATACAGATGTTTGAATATTGTTAGATTACACAAAAGCATTTGATACCATTAACCACAAATTACTTTATAGCATTCTACATTATGTAGGGTTTTCTAATAAAGCTATTAAATTTTTTAAAAATTATTTATCAAATCGTGTTCAATTTGTTGAAACAAATTCTGGCAAATCAGATATAAAAAATATCACATGTGGTGTGCCTCAAGGATCTATACTAGGTCCGGTTTTGTTCAGCATTTATGCAGGTAACATTCGTACAATTCTTGACAATTGCAGGGCTTATTTGTATGCTGATGATACACAAATTATATTTACTGTTTCGGAATTTAATAAAGTACTCAGAAACGAATTCATTAATTCAGAATTACTAAAAGTAGTCTCGTTTTCGAAAAGGCATCAGCTTAATATTAATCCTGCAAAAACACAAATATTAGTATTCGGCAAGAATAAAAAGCAAATTTCAAGTCAATTATCGATAAGTATTGATGGCATTTGTGTTCCTTGTGTTGATGTTGCTAGAAATCTGGGTCTTCAGCTAGATACGGATTTAAGATTTAGAATACACGTCAATAACTGTGTAAGAAAAGCATACGCAAATTTAAAAATGCTTTTTCCTCATCGTCATATATTAGATCAAAAAACAAAAATTTTATTGTGTGACTATGGTTCAGTCATTTTAATTATTGTGATGTCATTTACGGTCCTTGCATAGATAACTTAGATGCCAATCGAATTCAAAGAGCTCAAAATTATTGTCTTCGTTATATATACGGTATTAGAAAATACGAAAGGATCAGTTATAAATTGAAGGAAGCTAATTGGTTAAATATGGAAAGTAGAAGGCATCTTCATATGGTAACATTTTTTCATAAAATAATAATATTTAAATCGCCACCCTATTTATATAATAGAATTACATTTCGCAGCGATGTGCACAATGTGCATACTAGATTTAGGGGGCATATCTCACCTCCTTACCATCGGACCTCTAAGTTCCAGGCATCGTTTTCCTATATGGTCTTTAAACTTTACAACCAGGTTCCTTCGCATCTAAAGCATCTTACAGTAGGTACATTTAAGGAAAAATATAATAAGTACTTACGTACAGGTATTTGAGAATATTTAATTATGTTTAATTGTGTTTAATTAAAGTTAATTATATTTAATTGTATTTAATTAAATTAAGTAGTATACAATGTGATATTAATTTATAAAAATAATTAAAGGGGTAGCACTTTGTATCAGCTCTGCTGTCTGCTGTCTCTTTTTTGTAGCATGATTTTATTTTAATGTATAATATGTAATTTTTTTATTTATCAGTATCATTCTACAAATAAACGTTATTATTATTATTATTATTATTTCGGGTCCGGCCGGTGTTCTTCGTCACGTTCACCGTTATTAAAAGATAATGATGATCTGTTTTATATATGTAATTTCTCCGATAATACATTTTTATTAGTATAGTGAATTCCTAATTTTTTTGGTATATTTTTCAACATGAAATTTTGTACTTTACAAACCTGATGATGTTTAAAAATGTTCAAAATTAGTTGTTATTTTACCTCAGTAAATTGTATAATATGTGGTACTAATTTTGAGTTTTATCATTCTCTACAATCACATATTATAATTAAAAATTCTGACAATACAATGTAAAATTTATCGAAAAGTAGTTAATGAAATCCTTGGGGAAAGTCAGGAGACAAGGAACTTGAATTCCCTGGCGATCACAAGCTAGTTGCAGAAGAACAGAAAGACTATTTGATAAATGTACCAATTCAGTTACTGTCTAATTTAGAAAATAAACTATTCAAACGTAAGATTGAACACTTCCTTAAGTCTACGTTTCTTACCTACAAATAAAATGGAATTTCTTGACATTATTAGTGGATTAAAACATTCGGTGCAGCTGTTCCGATAATAGTTTTTAGAAAATAATACATGGTCTTCAAGAATACCCGTATCTCAAGTGATCTGCTAACATCACAAAACGCATGAAAACTGCCTGGTTTTAGTTACTTTTATTACTGAGTTTTGTCAGAAATTTCACTGGCGTTCATTTGGGGATTGATACGAGTATTTACATATTTTATCAACACTTTTATGAAATTTTAAAAATGTATTTACTGTAAAAGGTAATGAGTGTTTGTAATTTATTTCAGGTAATTTTACAAACTAAAAAAATTATTTTATTGTATTGGCTCATTTTCGAAGTGTTAGTCGAAATACTGATAGAACCTGGTTACAAACATTTAAATCGTAGGGTGAACTCTACAATTTGAGGAACATTTTCCAGGTAAATAAATAAAATATGATTCTTTTTGTTGCCCAAACAAATAATATTTCAAAATTTTAAAAAGGAAAGTGCTCCGTGTAATATTAAGGGCGTCGGAATTTAAAAAAAAAAAACTTTGTAAGAGTCGATCTATTCTTACACAGCACCAAGGGCGGCTCGTGACCAAAATTTTGGGGGTTCAGAGTATCAGAATATAGATCCCGCTATAGATATAGGTAAAAAACTGTCAGTGTTTTAGAAAGGTATACTATCAACTTTCTAAAACATTGAAAGTGTTTTCATACATGTGTACTGATACCTACATTCTGTCACTGTGAACCACCCCACGAGCCGCCATTGCACAGCACCTTTAATAGATTCACTCTTAATAGTTTTGAAAACCTAGAAATAACGAGAAATCCAAAAGCCTTCCCAGGAGGTTGCTTGAATACACAGATCCAATTTGTATCTTCTCCTATTTTCTTTACTTTGCTTTAAATAGAAAACATATTTCTTCTTCATTTTTCATTTCTTATTTCGCTGATTATTATTGCCCTTTCGTTATTAGTCTTTTCTAAATTTTCTCAAGAATCTGTTCCACACGTGGATTAGGTTTTTAATTTTTTTCTCATGTACTGTCAAATTTTAAATTTTCTTAGATCTGCCATTTCTTTGTTACAGTGTTACCAACTCCTCCTAAAATTAAAAATTTTTACATAAATAAATATTATTTTTAAACTAAAACTATTAAAAAAAAATTATCAAATTTTTCGTCTCATGCCCCGCATTTTTAATTTTTTTTATTTTTTCGTATTTCCATTTTTCATATTTCCATTTTATAAAAAACTTTGTAGTTTCACCTAGTGGAGATTTTTCGTTACTTATTATAAACATAATTTTTTGAAATTCATTAACTATTAGTTTTGTCACTTCATACTGGAGCACAGCTCTTCTATAAATTAAAAAAAAAATCAAATTTGAATTCTTTAAACCGTTTCAATATTCATTGCCGGTATCCATTTTGCTTTCGTGAACATTAAAAACTTTGGCAGTTTTTTGTTTTTTGACTTTGTAATGTAGGCTCATTAATATTGTAGTATCATGTGACGTTTTTAATACTAATATGTTTTTAACCCCCGACAGTTCGCCTCTATTTCTTTATGTTTTATCCCTAGTGGATAGACATTTTTTTGTGTTTTTTATTATACTAAACAGTCATTTCTTTATCTTTTACCATTTTGGTGTTGATGGTTTGTTTCATTAATATTGATTATTATTGTATTGGATTAAATTAAACAATGGAAAAATAGAAAAGTTTTCGTATATTTAATATTTTTCGAATAGGTTAATTAACTTGGATTAACCTAACTACTTAATTCACGAAAAAAAAATCATTTATTTTCTTTAATAATTCAAGCGTTAAATAGATTAACAAAAAATAAAAAATAGAGAAAATAAAAATAATGAGACACCTATGCCGTTAGACTACAAAATATCCGAAAAATGACTATTCCCTTGGCTATATGTCTATCAAACGCATTCTATTACATACTGACTGTCGAAGCTATCGACACAAGTCAACCCTTTCATTCTGGTGGTTAACGGTGTACTTTACATAACATTTTTAATTACCTTATTGCCTGCCATCTATTTGACTTTGTCTAGCATGAAATATTTTGGTTTTGGTGTAGTAGGATTATTGCGTTCAGATAATTGATGTTTCCTTTTGACAATGGACATGAATGCTAACAAAGCATATTGGTTTGATATAAATAGCTTTTAACTTAAAATATTTTTTTCAATAAACTGGACGAAAAGTATCAGGCAATACATAAATGGCGGTGTTAATGGTAGTGCTACGCGGCACCTAGATATGAAGAACTAGCTTTAATTTTACTACTTACAAGGTAAGTAAGCTCATATTATTATTCCCTTGGACATTAATATCTATCTCTGGATTAGTACTCTTAATTTACAATATGAATTGGATTAAAAATTAAACGAATAGACGAATAGTGTTGAACTCACAAAGGTAAAATATTGTTAAAATTTGAGCAAGTCAAATCTAACGTGTCTAACACGAATCCTAACCTAAAGTCTGAAGAAAGAAATTAGAGTAGTGAAATGGCATTAATAGGCACCATCGAGCCATTCAATCCGCGAGAATCCGATGTCTTCCATTATTTTTAACACTAATAGGAGGAGAGACCTACAGAGTTTTGAAGAATATCCTAGCACCAGCGTCTGTAACTAGCAAGTCTTATGAAGAGCTTAAACACGCTTTGCGTATACAATACTGCCGGGAGCGCCTCGTAATTGCAGAAAGGTATAATTTTTATAACACAAGTCGAGAAAATTCAGAGAATGTTAAAGATTATTCAGAAAAATTGGAGAGATTATCTGCACTGTCAGGTTGGGGCTTTTCTAAATGAAGCTTTACGTGACACATTTGTACGTGAATTACGTTCTGAGACCACAAGACGTAGGCTACTCACAGAAGATGATTTTACATATGAAAAAGCTTACCAAACAGCTCTGGCCGTGGAGTTGGCAGATGGATAAGCAAAAGTAATGGTGCAAGAAGGTATGCCCGTAAACAAATTACAGAAAGCTTAGCCCCATCTTGTAATATTTTTAAAATAAGACCTAGAACTAGGTTTGACCTACTAAAACTAATGATACATGTACTTAAAAAAAAAAGAATCTGATATTCCTAGAAAAAACAATTGTACTCTGTAAATGATTTAATGTATGTAAAAAATATTCATACAAACATGTGGTAAAAGGGAAAATACTGAAGGTGCTTAGCTGTTGTACATATTTAGTTCAGCTCGGAGATAATGTAAAATTGGTACAGGCTAACGATATTCGTTTAAATAATAACTGTATAGGTAACAAAGTGACACGTGAAAATGGCATTCCAATAATGTGCGGTAGAAGTGATAACGACTACAAGAAATCTTGTGTTAGTGATGTATCTAATATCTATGACAATTCAAACAATGTAACTAATAATTATACGCCAGCTTAAGCACCCTTTGCTACTGCGGAGCTTCACTCACCTAGTGTAGCTAAGAATAGTGTAGTACCTAACACTCACAATGCTTGTTTAGGTACCCTAACTATCCCTGTTGAGGACCATCCGACTTAAGTCTCACCTGGTATAATGACTAGGCCAAGAAGGCTTGTTAAACCACCAACCAGGTTAGGTTTATAGTCGTTTTGATGAGGGGAGAAATGTAATATATGTAAGCTACCTATGGAAGTGTAGTCACTTCCATGGATGGGATTTTAGCCACCAATGGTTGGCAACACTGATCTAAAAAAGTTGGTACGACTGATTAAAAAGTATGATCGTCTTTCTTGCATATGTCTGCTTTGGCTAAATAAAAAACCTATATCGGTAGTCTGTATTTTATTAAATAATTAGGTACATAACAACTATAAAAACCTATATAGCCATTTTACAAAACACGTGTTAACATGCTTTTATAATGTTTTATTAAATATCTCCTAAACTATGTTTAAAATCCAACTAATTAAAGAACAAAATAAATTCAAGTGGTCCCATTCTCTCTTGACATCCTAATTCGCTGACTCTAATAATAGAATATTTTAATGTTTCTAATATTCCAATACTTCTGGGACACTCTTTATAGTTACAGGAAATATTGATAAATAAGTATGAAATCATTTTTAAAAGGTACTAATTTTGTGTTTTTATTTCAATATAGTGTCTCCCCAATTTTTTTTAAAAAAGTTTTAGTCATTTGAAAATTCTATTCATGAATGTTTAAAAGGGCTTCAAAAAAAGTAAAACTCGAAGAATAAACAAATTTTGCATCCTCGCATATTTTCATTTCGAACATCAAACAAAAATCCAACTTAGGCACTACATTTTTCCGCTCGAAATATTTCGACATAATTGTTTAGTGTTAGCGTATTTACATTTTTTTTTACATTTTTTCTGCGTCAACAAATTTCGATATATGCAGGAGTCGAGAAAAGGTCCTTAAATGCATCACGTCTCAGTGTGTTCGAGTTATGGCTCTGGAAAATTTCCGACACAGACGAATAAAACGGCAATCAGATGGAAGAGTGCTTTTTGATAGCAATCTATGGGATCCGGAGAGATGGGATGGATGCGAAATTTTTATTACTTTATAAATACATTTCGAGGGAAATGCGAATTTGCTACTGCAAATGTCGAATGTGGAGGACATCGGAAGAGCAGCGGCGTTATTTCATTGATGTAAAATAGAATTTGCGGCGCCTTGACGCTGTATGTAGGTTATCTTTAAGAAACTGGCGTATAAAATACGATTGTCGGTTTGTGTAAATAAGGTTAAATTGCGAGTATACTGGATTGCATAAAAATCTCATAATGGAAAGCATAAATTTCTTTCCGTTTTTACAAAAGTATCACTTTGGGTGGTGGATCTAAACCAATCCATATTTACCATATTTTTTGTGTATTTTTATTAGTCATTATAGACTAAAACAAATTTAAATTTAAAACACCCCCACGAGCCGCCATTGCTTCTGGTCGTTGGGACCGACACCCCAAATGACGACTTTCAGTCTCAGGGGGTAATTTAAAATTAGTTCGTTTCGGTTCTAGTGTCCAACGCCTTTTAGAAACTTCGACATCGACACCTCGAGCGGCTACTAATATTACCCGTGGGGCCGGGCAATCGCACTCAGAGATTCAGGTTCAAGACACACTGTACACGCACCGACTGGTTCCCATATTACAGCTCTCCATACAGGTATTTCAACCATATGGGCTTCCCACACCTTACAGATTACAGTCGTCCGGTGTAGTGAATACACACGAATAACCCTTAACTTCATTCTACTACGGCTCTCGTTACACCAAAACCACTGATGGATCGGAACCACCAACGTATCGATTAGCACAGAGCGTTTGCCAATACACGAAGGTGGCCTGGATTTGGCTTTCCCGCACGGTACTCACGCTACCTGAATTAGATCAACTCGATCCCTCCTTTGGGTTGCTAGGCCAGAGATCCATCCGATTAACTCCTCCTTGCGGAAGGCTACCAAACGAGCGATGTGCTCTCTAGCTAGGACGAAATCCTGCCACTACGGGTCCGTTCCCGATGGGAAGGGCAGTGCTGCCAAAAGCACTGGGGCTCCCAATTCCCTAATACCATATTTTGTCCAAAAGCACCTAAATGGTTGCGGCTTGTGGGCACCAGTTAGTCTCGGCCAATTAGATTTAAAATCCAACAATCATTCAGCACAGGAATTTGGACCCCTGGAACGGTACATTCGCCTCTATCCGCTACGAGCTACTTCAACGGCTTCGGTTACTTGTACCTTGATTACTGGAAACCTGCACTTAGGCTCACAATAGGGATTGTTCTAAATGCCCCTAGATGGTTCGTAAAGAATTGTTCTGTATTATGCCCAATGTCTTCAAGGTTATCAAGGAGGCTGATGCTAAGGATTAGGTTATATTTGTACGATTCATTCTTTTTTAAAAAATAATAGTACTGGTCTTATTAGAAAAGAATTGCAGATCTGTTTTGTAATATAATTTGCATCATTTCAGCATTTATCCTTTTTATGAAATTCACTAGACCGTCTGCATAAGGTGTAGAAATAACTAGAGCTTTAGAACTAACGATTTTGTTTAGGGATATTAAGAATAAAGTAACACACAAATTGTTTTATTTAATTTAATATGCTTTAAACTTTCTATTTGGATTTTTTTAGAAAAATGGATATTTTTTCGTTTATAGATAACGTTAATGAGCACATTTATAAACTTACCAATTTATCCTATGTGCATAAAATCAATAACTGTATGTACCTGAAACAAAAAAAAGTACGTTAATTAACATATAGATGGAGAGTTTTCAGTTTTAGTTCAAAGTAAAAAGTTAAGTAAACAATTCCTCCTGAAACATTGCGGAACATGAACTGTATTTTATATTCTCTTTAGTTTTTGTTTTTTATTTTATTAATATACGAAAGCTTATGCAGGTGCACACATTTAAACGTAAATCGTTTATTTTACAATGAATTGGAATTTTAGCAGAAAATAAAAAGTTATGAAAATATTTGCTTAATTTCAAATTATCACTATGTGCAGTTTTTAGACACTTTCTAGATATGAAAAGTTTGATAAATATATTTGTAGACACTGCTTTTGCTGTAAAAAGTTTGTGTTCTTCTGAAGGTGACTTTTTTGTTACTAGAATGACGTACTGCGAGTAATTAGCAAAATGTTGCTTGATTAGCTCATAACATGTATTCGGCTTTGAAAAACAAGATGAATTCTAATAAATTATCCAACATGGAGTGGACGAAACGATGAATTAGCATGCATCCGGCTCGAAGGACCAGGCCTGGGAGATGTAAAATTTTTATTAAAAGATCACCTACTGATTGCACACTTTATTTTACAGGAAATTTTTTACTTAAGCCAGGCACAGACAGTTCGAACTGAGTATATTTGTATCCTTGTTTATCGATATGTAAAAGAAAAAAGTAACTGAGGTGAAAACTAAATGGGACAGAAATGTGGAAATAAGAATAAAAACTAACAAGATAAAAAAGAACCATTTTAAATTTTATAAATGTTTCGTTTATTTAATTTTTGTTGTATCATACGCAAATTTACTATTTTATTGGTAACTATTATAATGTAAATTCGTAACACTTTCAGAATAGGTATGATGATGGCTTTGTAAATCCGAAATCGCTTAGATAAAATTTAATAAAATAATTTTTTACACACTAATTCTGTACCCGGTTTCCAGTATGTTTATGAATTTTATTTTCTCATATAAATTATTGTAGTTCGATTTCAAAATTTTGACTCTGTCAACTTTACGATTACAGGACAAATATATAGTTTTTAATTTAAGTGTCGAATTAAGGGCTAAAAATTTGAAGGTGGTGCGAGTCCCGAAACAAGGATACATAAGATAGCTTCAATTAGTAACTAAGGACCGGAATAAACTCAAACAACAAGCGAGGATCAAGTTAAACTATAAATATCATCAATCCTATTAATTAATGGGTGGTTCAAGGGATAGCTGGTTACCCAGAAGGGTTACGATAACGGACTTCGACACATAAACAAATAACATTCACATTTAATACACAAACTATTACTAATATATGTAAACGGCCAAACACAAATTACCGTTCAGCTGTTATTTATTACTGGTTTAGTTTATTTGCTTAATAGTATCACTACAAATAAGGAATAAATGCATTAACATAACCTACCATCAATTTCGTAAAGAATAAAATGTATCATATTATATAATATGCCAGGTGTCCGTCAGGAAAGAAAGGATAGATATATTTTTGGTGTCTTCGAACTAAGAAACTTAATTTTTTGAGAAGTGATTTATTACGCAAGGAACAATGTCTTGTAAAAAAAATAATAGGTTACATGAAACACTTTTTAAGATACTTTAATTATTTTTTTTTACTCTTGTACTAAAATTCGTCAATTAAATAATGATGATATTCTTTATAGCAATGCGTTTTATTATGAAAAATAAAAATTGACCAATAAAAACCTATATTTTGTAACAGTTAATGAGGCCTTCAGTTATAATTAATTTTTGATAGTTTCCAAAAGATTTATATTCTGTGTCAGTTTATATTTTTAAATGTTTAGGTATTTTAAATCTGAAAAAAGATGTCCAGAACACTGAAATCGCTGAAAACGATAAAAATGTACGCGGTAATTTATTACCAGTAAACTCATAAAAAGTATACTGAATAAAAATTGTTGAATAAGGTATTGCAATTTATTACCTTTAATTCATGATGTAGAGCCATTTTAAGTTTTTTAAATATCACACCGCATAATAACATGTATAATCATTTTATGAATTGATGGGCTAGCAAAGAAATGATGCGTTTTAAAAAATCTATTGTTAATTTAAAGAACTATGAAATGCAAAGTTTCTTAAATTTTCACACAGCTCCAGCTGCCCATTTTTTATACTTGAGCTGGGTCGTGGGTTACATTTATCCTTTTTAATTTTAGCTGTAGGATAGTGACAAATACTAACTAGCCCTAAAGAGGTGATTGAGCCAGTAATTAAATTGCTTAACCGTAATGCCTCGGGACTACATGACATCAACGGCATTTTGTTAAAAAACGTTTCATAAAAGACATTTTTATAACTGAATTACATAATTAATGCTATTCTAAAATTGCAGTAATACTTATTATATTAAAAAAGGCTAATATAAGTCCCATGAGGAAATCGGGGAAAATCTCAAATATATTGATAACTCCGGCCCCATCTCCCTACTCAATATTATTTTTAAGACAGTAGATTAGATAATACTAAAAAACGGTTGCACAGGTTATAAAAATCCCTTATCAAGCGAAAGAGGCTTTTAATGACAAAAAGCAGACCTGACTTGTAGCATTAGATACCGAGAAAGATTTTGACACGGTATGGACATATGTGTTAATATACAGAATGTTTATAAATGAATATCCTCTTTACATTATAAAAACGATTAAGTCATATCTAGAGGATAGAGCTTTTATTGTAAAACTCAACAAAACTAGCACAGGACCATTCAATGCAGTGGCGAATGCACCCCAGGGTCCGGTTCTCTCGCCGCACCTGTACACTATCACAACCCATCACATGCCCATGGGAGTTAATGATTTACAGACGACGTTGTATGCTGATGACACCTGTGTATTTAAAACATCTACATTTGCCGATAAAGAGAACAAGAGACTTGACATCCATAATAATATAACAATAATCCCTTATCTCGATTAGAACAAAATTCGACTGAACACTGCAAAATCCGTAAGCATGGTAAAAGGAGAAAACAGCAAATAATAGCTATATTTGAGATAAAAAAACAGTTCGAAGAGGCTAAAAATACGGTAAATTATCTGGGGCCTATCCAGACAAGAAAATAACGTTCACAAAGCACACCGACGACAGAAGCTTCAAAGCGAATAATGCAATCAGAACAGTAGGATAACAAGTACGCGAAATCAAGCTGCTGATCTAAAAACAGGTAATCAGGCATATATTCACTTATTGCTCGATGTCCAACAGAAATTTCCTCAATTTTCAAGGGATACAAAGCAGGTGTCTGAGGATCAATAACATGCATGTAGAGACATTCAAGCCGACTATGAAAGAATTTGTAATGCGCATCTCACATAATTTTTTTTACACAATGTCTCCCCGAAAACGTAAAGGGAGACATACTTAACATTCATTCAGGGAACAGTGCCCACAGAAAGCATTGATGTATTCACAAAGTACTCTTAATATACAGATAAGACTTAAAATTATAAATAATTTAAGGCTCGGACGGACATAAACTGCACGACCTACTAAATGTGGAAAGCTCGAGCTGGCTAGCTATGAGCACTGGTGGGGACGGTGGATTGCACGATAGGCGCGTCATCAGATCTAAAATCGAGGGCCCTCGATTCTTGGTCGGATATCCTGCTATACCGTGTAGATCACAGCTGCTAGCAGAAACGAAATATACATGCATAGACATAAGTACAACCTTGTTTTTCCCTAGCTTTTTTCAGGGAGCCAAATTACAACTAAAATCAGACACAACTTGAAACACAAATCAATTATCGCCGTTAGGTAGTTAAGCCGGAATTATCATATCATATCGAAAGGTAAGGAGATGATAGATAAACATAACACCGATAAACATCCTGCATTTCACGGTTGGGAGCAAAGACGACGTCCATACTTCTCCAGTGAACTGCTAGAGGATGGAAAAAAGTTATTCCAGTGACTGTTTACATGTAGATGAGAATTGTATTACTAAATTTAAATAAAATTTGATTTGACTTCTACGAACTAGTTAACAAAGGAAGAAGTCAATACTAAAAGTAAGCTGACCTCGTCAATTGCACACTTTGGGTATACGTCCTAAGGGTTGAGACTGTCCTCCTAATACTGATGTCCTTAAAGCACCCTAATCCGGAAGTTCTAAAAATAAAAATTAGTACACAGTTAGTTAATTGTAGAGTATCTACTGACTCTCATTCTTTGATCACATCAGATTTAACATACGGACGCACCGGGTACCTTCTCTCCAACTCCGTAACTCACAAAACTTAGACTGGAGTGGATAGTTTTTTTTTTCTGGAAAAAGACGACTGGCCACGCAATGACCAGATAGTGTCGGATTCTTACCGACTAAAAACAACTCTTAATGTAGAATGCAAAATCTTCTTGAAACCATCCGCAGACATTACTTCAATAAGTGTTGTTGGGCGTTTT